CGTTGGTGGCCGTTGGTTCGCTGCGCGGGGCCTGGCGGTGCGGCTGCGCTGCACTGCTCTGTATTTGCATACAGTGATATAATACGTACTTATTGCTGTATTATAAATTAACAATACGCATTATGAGTTAATAATACACATTACAAGTTAATACACATTATAAATATACTTTTTTTCTGTCATTGCCTTTTTTCCCAGTCAAATTGAGACGTTTCTTGGGTCTCACCTGGCGGCCACCAGTGCTGAGAGAGTGCTGAGAGAAAGAAGCACTTTCCTACCGTCCTTGCAGGCGTGTGTGGAGGCGGCAGGAGAGGTAGCTTTATTGCAAACCCTGTGGTCCTATGGGACCATGTCTTGGGTGCCCAGTAGCTCCAAGCAAGCCTGGGAGCCTGTTGCCACCCTGGTTCTGTGTGATTTTTAAGGGAGAGGCCAAGTATAGTTAAAACCAAGATGCCAGCTGGCAGCGGCGCTCTTGCCCCATAGGTACCTTCAAGAGACCTCCACTCCCCTCAGCTTGGACTTGTTCTGCTGCCAGGGTGGTCAAGGCCCTTTCCCACCCTCCCCTGGAGCCACGACAAGGACTGGCTGGGACTGTGTCCTCAGGTCACAGTGGGAAGGTGTTTGGAGCAGCTCACAGGTGCTGCCTTGATTCTCAACTGCTTTGACTGAAAGCTCCTTGCAAAGACGCAGTGCGGCTTCAGAGCAGAGCCTGAGCTGACATGACCTAACTGCTGAACTGGTTCAAACTGGAGCATATCTTCATGGGTGTTGCAATTCCACTTGTCGCACATCTCTGCCTCTCACCTGGGATGCAGAGGACCTTGGGTGGGAGTACTCTGCATCTATATATGTAAAATTGCTCAGTAACAGTCATTGAGCTTTTCAGCTAGACCGTAGCCAGCACCATTCCCTGTCAAAAGATTCCCATAGGTAAATTTAGGCCAAGACATTCACTTTGCAATTTCTACCTAAGTGACAGATAAACAGAGAGAGATGGTTGGGCTCTTCTTTTAAGAACCAGCCTTTGCCTTTCTAGGCTGAGGTAGACAGTTTCAGGAAACAGTTTCTATTTAGTCAACCCAGCTGAAGCAGGAGGGAAGGCCCAGGCATCATTCCCACCCCTTGCTTTCATTGTAAGTCAGCTGCAGAGTCCTCCAGGTGTGTGGCTGGCATCTCGTGGAGTGAGCGATGGCAGGAAGACTGGCCACAGCGCCTGGGGGATTTCAGGAAAAGCACGTTTCTCCATGGGAATCAGAGCGGAAGGGTCTTCAACATGCCAGACATGCAGTTTTAGTCATGTGCAGCAGTGCCGTTGTGGTGCGAGTGGGAGTACTGAGCAGTCCTGACTTCCAGCAGCCACCTGATACTCTTTTAACGACATCTTTGTGGCAAATATATTAGATTCAGATGCGCTTCAGAAATAAATGCCAGTTAATTAGCCTCATGCTATAGAAGGATAGCTTTTGCTTCGAGGACTCCTGCCAGAGGATTCCAGCTCTCTTCCTGTAAATCCTTTATCTGTTTAATTGCATCTCTTTTCTTCCAAATACACAAAGAGTTCATATCCTTTCCCATTGTGCAAACTCCTAAATTATCAGCCATTCAAGCAGACTTGGATACACAGGCAGGAATATATTTTAAAGGTTATATATGGTCCAAAGATGGAAGGAAATGCTGAATCTAAAACTTCAATCTACAAACAAGTTTCCACATGTTTAGCTTTATGTTTCAGCTTGGTGGCACTGATATTATTTGAACTGTTCTTGGTTGTGAAGCTGTGAGTGGGTACAAGTAATTATAGGAATGGAGCTTCAGTCTGCTTTAAAACTAAAATTAGAAATAACAAATTTAGAACTAATAAGGATTTGTTTTCCTACCCGAATTAAAAGTTCGTGTTGCTGCAGAAACCCGTTGTAGAACAGCACTGTCTTTGTAATTAAAAAGCATCAGACGAGTTACCGCTGTAAAACACGATGTCACCTTTTCCAGCATTGCAGCAAAGGCTTATGCTTATTTAATGACACTCAAGAGCTGCAGTCATGCGCCTTGATGGCCCTGGGCAGGCTCTGTCCTTGCACAGAGCACCCCTGAAGCAAGGCTTCGGATGTGCTCAGAGTGTGTTGCATCCCGGGACTGGGAATTTAGGAGACATTTCTGACTTCTTATATTTGTAAATGACTCCATGTGAGCCTAAAGAGTGGGATCTGTAGAGTGTGTGTGTGACAGTGCAGAATTTGATCTCATAATCCCCGAGAGTGAGGAAAACCACCTTTTCTTTTTTTTTTTTTTTTGAAGATAGAGAAGCTGCCATTTTTGTTTGTATGATGATTAGTCATTTCTTGCATTTAAAAGTGTTCCCTGTTCCTAATTCAAATGTGACCGGCGTCAGTTCTTACGGATTATTGTCGTTTTGCCTTTTCCTTTCCCTTTGGGTATCAACGCAGACTTTCTAGTGCAAAACATTTTCCCATGGTGAAAATACTTGTGCCAGATTCTACCTGGATATTCCTGTAGCTCTGCTACCGAGTCTGCACTCTAACCTTCAGCAAGACACTTAACTACTTGCTCTGCAAGAAGGGCATGATAAGGCTTACCAAACAGGGCTGCCTGCAGTGCTAAATGGATCCTTGTCCTGCATTTTGCAGCTGTCCAAAGGAGAGCGCTGCTGATGCTTGTGTGCTGCTTCATGAATAGCTCTTCACAGAGAGCTTTATGCAACACTTGCAAAATGAAATACGGCACCAACAGAGTTTTTGCTACTTGTATTGATCAAGCTCACTTTTCCCTTTATCTATGCTTTTTGTATTTAGAAAATCCTCTCCAAAAAATTACCATGCTGTATGAGACAGCCAAAATCTTCCCAAGAATGCAGGATGTTGGCCATTGAACCTCATCCATACACAAATAAATTCATCTTAAAATGTAGCTTCCTCTCTCATGTCAGTTTAAAACTCCCATTTTTTCTCATTCTCTCTTCCTCTCTCTCTCTTTCCTTTTGTATTTATTGTTTCTCACTACTCTATTCCCAGTGCTAGGTATTATATACACAGCATTTCTGGTGCCAAGCTGCGCTACTGCCTTCCTGTTTTTATGAACGATTTCTCTGTGGAAAACGAAACGTGATCATTCTGCTGGGCCAATGGATAAGAGATGTTGCCTGTTAAACACCAAGCCCCAGGGAAGCACCGTATTGGTAGGACGGCCCCTACAAGGTGCTGGTGTCGGCGCTCTCAAACTTTACCCAGAAGACGCAATTACAGGCTCACCAGGAAAAGCCATCACATCATGCCATTTCTCTCTACTGGTCACAAGTGGGATTGGTTTAGGGATTTATTTTTTCTGCCCAGTTTTGCTGATGATGGAGGCTGGGGCTATGGGGAAAGTCGTGATTTTTGATGAGGCTTGTGGGTGCTGATGAGGAAAAGGGCCACTCGGGCAGAGCCAGCCTGCTGCACTTGCACTGTTCCTAGAACGGAGGAGATAGGGGAGACAGCAGCTTCCTTCCTCCAGTACCTTCCAGGGAGGCAGAGGGCCAAAGTGGAACAACTAGAGCCAGGAGAAGGGGAAGGGTGAGGGAGGGCTGATGCCCAAGGATAAGAGAGAGCAAGCCAATATTCACAGAACTGGTTGAGTGAAGAGCTGTGGGCCAGTTCCATTTTTTGAAGGAGGGAAAAGGAGCTGTGCTGAAACATATGGATTTATTGAGTTCCACAATGTGCTAAAAAAGCCTCAGCTCCTGGAGCAGTGGAATTATGTGAATATTTCTTTTTCTTTCTTTTTAATTTTTTCTTTTTTAAAAAAAACTTTATAGCCAAATTATGTTTCTAGATGTCATGGCTGCAGGGAAGGGCTTCAAAATATGACTCATAAGAGCTCAAAATACAAGAAAGCAATTTAAGAGCTTGCCAATAATTAGAAGAAAAAAACTCATAATTTTGGAGCCTTATTCATCTTGAATGCTTTTTTTTTTGGGCAACATTTTGCCTCATGAGTATTAACTCTTACATTTGCCAACACAGACAGTTTTCTTTTGGCGGGTAGGATATTTCCTCCATGCCGCCACGGCACAAGCTCAGAAGGCACAAGAGCAAGCAAATCTTTGCCTTCTCCAAGCAAAGATTGATCAAGGGACAGGTAAGTGTGTATCAGCTTACTCCACACTTCTGCGTGAGCACTGACATGAAAGGAAGCCAGACAGCCCAGGGAGGACCGTGTGTGTGTGTGCGTGTGTGTGTGCACGCGTGCACGGCGGGAGGCGGTTTGGGGACCAGGCAGACTGTTGACCCTCATGCGCCTCTGCTTATTGTGCCCAGGCTGCGCGAGGGTGGGAACATGCGACGCTCAAGTACTCGGATGATGGCTGTGTTAGAAGGGGATGAGAGGAAAGCTTTATCTCAGTACTGAAGGGGATGGCATTTTGAGTTTTATTGCACAGCAAGTTGAAGTGACATTTCCATTTTAATGACAGGACATCTGT